TTCACCACGAAAAACATCAGAGCTCTCAAGTTTATTTAACTTTTCTTTGTTACTTTCTATTACTGCGTTGATATTCTCGAGCTCTGACTTTATATTTGCATTCAAATCGTTCAATGTGCTGAGTTTGTTGAAAACATCTTTTCTGAGAGAATCTACAGAGCTGGTCAACTTTTTAATGTTAGGTCCTAGACTTGAGCATCTATCACAGAACCATCTGAGGTTGGTGCTGGAATCCAAGAGGTTGCAAACCTCTTCAGGAATTGAAACACAGTTCGCATGCGCAAAGAACTCACACTGAGAACATTTAACAGCCTTCCCCTGACCTTTCGCCTCTGAACATTGCAAACATTTATTTTTATTCATTTTCACCAAAAAACAGTTTAACTTTCAATTTATAATATTGAACGTTAGAATATAAGTTAATGTTCGTACACAACACTCCTTATGCGTTGACGACAACAAATTATATTCAACTAGTTTAAAAAGTGTGTCCTTTAAAGCTATATAACAATACAAGTTAATTCTAAATTAAATTATTTAATTAAATTGTTAGCTAATTCAAAAAATAAAAATACGGTGATACTCCTCTTAATTTATGCTTTAAAAGGGATCCAAAATTAACAATATAACCTCGATATAAATATCACAAAAATTACAAAAACGCAGAGAAAATCAAATACGGCTAAACCCAACGTAGCGAAAAATATGTATATGTATATAATTCTATATATATAAGTTTACACATTTGTTTTTGCATACACGCATCTTTATTACTTATTTTTAATATGATTTTTAAAATGAAGGATAAATTTGTTTCTTCGGAAAATTATCGATACATCGGTAATTTTTCGTTCGGTAAAAGATTTTGTACTGGTGATCGGTTTCGAAAATGTTGAGCGATTTCCATCTGGACTCGTAAGCGTGTTTATGCATTATACTTACAACTAAACACACGTAGAATATGTATAACTAAATATAGATAGGTAGATATTAAAGATTCACCAAATAGTGAATTCAGCCGACGACCGAGTAGTTGATCCATTCTATTCATTTGTCTTAAGTCAGTTAACGTTTGTAAACAAACGTTCTCTAACCCAAACCCTGGCACTAATAAATTCACAGTTATTACTAAATATAATTATAAACTTAAAATTATTTATTATTTCATAAAAATATCTAGTTTATTATCCTTTTTTTCCAAAATAGCTTAAAAAGCTGAACGTTCGCTATTTCTATTCGGTTGAAGCCGAAGGCCGAATACTAGAAAACCCACAATTTTGAAACAAATGAATTTCTTTAGAATGAAAAACATACTATTGAGCAAACACTGATGATTCGTAACCCCTTGTTCAAATTCAGATGTTTTGATAGCTATGATTATAAAAATAAATTTACCGCTAAAAAGTGATGGCTCAAACGGAAGTTGCACTTGGCTATTTAGGCTAGTCGAATGCCAAATTTTTGGCAAACCTCTGGTGCATTTCTAACCGATGTAAAATGCATACACAGTATATAAATATATATATATATATATGTATACATATAGTCATATGAAATTTATTAGTGAAAATCACAGTATGTTCCGCGTTAGTTGACTTCCTGTTTAATTTTTATAACGGTAAATCGTAAATAATTGTAAAACCCAGAAGTATTTCATCCGTTATTTTATTGAGCCGAGTACAGCAAGCAAACACAAACTAGAAAATTATCGTTGAGAAAACGATAAGCTAATATTTAGCAAACCTAGTCAATTAAGCAGGGTTTCCGTAGTCAAATAGCACACCTACATGCTCCGTAGATGGCGCGCAACTTAAATCTTAACCTACCTGCTTAAGTGTACACGAATACGCGTGAAAACCATGCATCACACACATTGCATAAGACATTATAGGCTTAGAACCCTTTGCATTCGAAACCAGTCGCTGCAACATCAGGAATAAGCGCCTTTAACCATTGCGCGGTAACGCCGCCCATGTAAAGTGCGTAAAAGCGCCTGCAAGAACACGGCAATATTATGACGGGTGCTATTAAAATTCCCAAATTGCAATAATATATAGAATATGTGTAACTCAACATTAGGTTCAAGCACTGTAGTTCAACTCCCACCATAACCGTTTTAACCTAATTATAGTAGTCTTTGTTTGGGTACAAATTAATTAACATAAAATCGTACAGCTAGAAAACTAGAATCAATCTAAACTCATCAGCTAGTTGTCATCTAAATAACGTAAAATATAACAAAATGAATAAAAATAAAATTTAAGTTTTTGCGCGAATGAAGAAGAGACCATGGTGATATATTTTTAATAAAGCCGATAGGAACTAAAAAGTTAGTTAAATATATAGACATTTTTTTCATACAACACAACTAATTAAAGTAAAAGAATTAAATAAATTTAATATTATAATAAAGTACCAACTGTTAGGCTGCAAATATGTAATCAATTAAAAAACGCAAAAATCGAACCAAAATGATCATAATAAAATAAATTTACTATAAAATTATAAAAACTGTAAATGATGGCATGTGGAAAGATCTTTCTTTAAGCTGCAAAACATTATATTATAATTTACATTCCTATATACAATTTATCTGAATTATATCTTATCCTAAAATTCTTTAAAAAAAATTCCGGTTAACAAAAATATCATTTGAAAGTGATAAGATCGTTTTCACGCCTTTGTTGATTTATTTATTCCTTCAATCTAATAAAATAGAGTCGAATGAGTCATCGGTCAATTATAATTAAACAGCCAGATCCAAATAGTTGTTTAACCAAAAAATCCCGAAAGAAATTGCAATCAATCTCTAATTTTATTTTATGGTCTTGGCCATATATATGATATTATTTACTATTTGGGATATGGCACAACTTTTTCTACAAATCCACGTGAAAACTCGAAATGAATAATTGTATTGCAAATAACGATTTTAAATTTTATTCGAATGAATTTTAGAAGAAAATATTAATTTTTGGCGGTTAAAAATAAATTACATTAAAATTTATATCTTAATAAATCATCCAATAAATCATCCAATCAGTCAGTCAGTCAGTCAGTCAGTCAGTCAGTCAGTCAGTCAGTCAGTCAGTCAGTCAGTCAGTCAGTCAGTCAGTCAGTCAGTCAGTCAGTCAGTCAGTCAGTCAGTCAGTCAGTCAGTCAGTCAGTCAGTCAGTCAGTCAGTCAGTCAGTCAGTCAGTCAGTCAGTCAGTCAGTCAGTCAGTCAGTCAGTCAGTCAGTCAGTCAGTCAGTCAGTCAGTCAGTCAATCAGTCAATCAGTCAATCAGTCAATCAGTCAATCAGTCAATCAGTCAATCAGTCAATCAGTCAATCAGTCAATCAGTCAATCAGTCAATCAGTCAATCAGTCAATCAGTCAATCAGTCAATCAGTCAATCAGTCAATCAGTCAATCAGTCAATCAGTCAATCAGTCAATCAGTCAATCAGTCAATCAGTCAATCAGTCAATCAGTCAATCAGTCAATCAGTCAATCAGTCAATCAGTCAATCAGTCAATCAGTCAATCAGTCAATCAGTCAATCAGTCAATCAGTCAATCAATCAATCAACCAATCAATCAACAAATCTGCGATGTTCAACAGCGCTACTTAATGAATTTTATAAATAAATGGGTCTTGAGATCCGCTCTGAACTTAGTAAGTGATGAAAAAGCTAGAAAAGTCAGAAAAAGCAAACGCAGATTACGGTAAGAGTGTTCAACAGGAATCAAGGAAAAGAAAAGGTTTAGTTAATATGTCTGATAAGTATATAGGAAATAATTCAGATTGAGACTTATGCATAAATGTGCAAATTTTTAAAGTTATCCTATATTTCATAGGTAGCCAACAGTGGCGGAACTAGAAAAGGGGGTGTCAAAATGTAAAAAATGTTAAAATTTTTGAAATTTGGCGATGGCGAAGAAATAAACCAAATGTTCGCTAGCGACCGTCTTTTAATGCTTGTCACGCTAATTTTTGTACTTTTGTAAATAAACGTCCTTAATATTGAAGGCTGGCAAAACTGAAAGTTTATAATCACTTTTCCCAGGACTTCAAATATTTCAAACATTTTTTTTAGATATTTTCGCGATCTTATATTGAAAATAAAAGCTGTTTTCAGACCCGATAAAAATAACTTTTACAACCTTAGGAGTTTTTAGGGCCATCTGATGTCCTCAAAATACATGGTAGTCTTAGAAAGTTAAGTGTATAATTTACGATCAAATTATTCTCCTGATTTTAAAATTTTCTTCGAATAACTAAATGGCTAGAATAATAAAAAGCAGCACCTGCTAGTAACTCGTTGGAAGCATTGTTTTCATTGTCCGACAATACAAGCAAATCGAGGTCTGACGATTGGGATGCCTCAAGATTATTTTCATTATTGATGATGCCGGCCTATTAATTAAATTAAATTCGTTCCAATTATATGAAAAATAATTTTCGTAAAAATATTGTCCAGCACAAAACAATACGAAATGTATGTAAATATATTTATTTTTACACTCACAAAAAATGCTTCATGGTGCAGTCATTTCATGATTGTTCTATTTTGAATTCTAAAATATCATTTAAACATTTTTCTCACGTTTTTCTCATTTTTCTTACGTTTAATATGTTCTTTTTTCTTTGATCTTTATGACACAGCTCTGACTGACATTCGCAGAACATATCATTCCTATATTTAAACTTTCGTGCCACATCACACGACGCACATATACATAATATATCATGCGCGCATGGCGTATGATAGTCTTTGAGTTTCAGACAACCATTATTCAAACCAGGCCATCGCGTAACTGCACAAGATATTTTTACCAACTGAGCTAACTCGCCGACAATTCTAAACCTTTTCCCTAAAACTGGCTTTATTTATAACTATAACGAAACCAAGAGTTTTGTAACTGTAAGGACCTTAAGCATTCATGAAATAAATAAACATCTAATTTTAAGATATTTAACCATGTATAATAAGGTATAAAACTCACAGTTTCTGCAAATGATGTTAGTTGTTCTTTGGATGACAACAGTTTAGCAATAGGAAAACAGCACTTGGGTAATGTTTCGGTGAGTGGAGGTTCATGATTTGTTAACAAGGGTTTGATAAATCTAAAAGTGCGAAACAAAATAACGCTTTTTACAATTTATTTAGGCATTTTAAAATCATATTTTCGTTGCAGTAACCTGGTTACTGTAAAGCAGAAAACCATACGCCAATTGAACCACAACTTAATAAAACAATATTATAACAATGACCCAAAGAGCACAAACACAGAGAGGAAATAAAAGTTCTATTAGAATTTCACCATCTTTATTTATTTAATAGAAAAGGTCGATTTTAAATAATCGAGCTTAAACAACACGGAAAGCTAAAATTCTTCTCTTAAATATGATTAAATCCTCAAACATCGCTCAAAGATCTATCTGTTAACTTACACCAAGTCAAATGAAAACAATTTTTTAAAATTTCTCTTAAACAATGGAATTATTTGAATTGAATCGCAGATAGAAGCCGCAGAACTTCTCCCCTCCAATAAGAAACCACTGGATGAACCATCATCTTATCATCCGACATGGCTGGTAAAATATTAGAAAGAATAGTTCAACAAAGGGTTGAAGCAGTAGTTGATACGCTGTTGACCATCAACCAGTTTGACTTTCGAACATGCTATAAATCTTTTCGTTAATACAGCTAAGGATGCAACGAGCGGAACCGGGGGGAGAGGGAGTAAAAAGAAGTATTGTCTGGTGGCCACTAGACATCAAAATGCCCTTGACTTTAACAAATGAAACCGTATCATGCAAGAACTTGACAAAATGAACGTATTAATGTACCTACAGAGAATAGTTGCAACCTACTCTACTCTACTATTGAAGCCCAATACAAAAACAGGTAAAAAAAACAACACGAGGAGTATCGAGCTGGAGTGGAGCTAGAATTGCCAACATGTGTCAATCTTGTGGTAAATGCCGATGATGTGGCTGTGGTTGTTGTTGCACAACACCTCGAAAAGATAGAACTTGCGTTTGATATCACCCTTGCAAAAATAAACAGATGGATAGAAACAGAAATAGCAGAGCACAAAGGCGAAGCAGTACTTATCACAAGTAGAAAACGAGGTAAAACCATAGCCATTTATTCGATATTTTGGAGTGATGATTGACGCCAGACTCAATTTCAAACGACAAATGTAGCACGTTTGTAGCAAAGCGATACAAGTAAGAGCAACTATATTATAAGTAATGCCTAACATTGGAGGTCCGAAACAAAACCGGAGGAAGTTGTAGTCATTAGTCATTACATCAGGGTTGATATTTAGGCCAATGCTCTCAGCATCCACAACATGTAGAGGCAAATTGCATGATAGAACATAGGTAGAGCGACAATCGATAATAACTGATTAAAAGATTGACGATTTCAAACAGGACGTCTGACGTAAAATTGAAATAATAAAGCAACAACTGGAACCAGTGCAAGACATGATAGTCACCATGACCCACGTCACTGTAAGAGTGTTAATTGCGCCTATATTTGATAGGAAAAACATTTACAAAATTCCATTTGAGGCTGCAGCAATCAGTAATAGGTGGAACGAGAAAGACCGGGCAGCAGCGTTGGTATTAAGTACTGCGAGGCCCGGCAGCGAAAGTACTGCAAACAATCCCTGAAAAGAAATAATTCAACTTCACAACCTTGATTAATGCGCTAAACGTACGGTGTGGGGAGAGCAAAAGAAAAAGGTATATGACTCAACCCAGGAGCAGAACACAACGACCGGAAAAAAAATACAACAGCTAACACAAGATATAGAACGACTAACTCTGTTATCTTGCTCATCTTCTGACCAGGAGCATAAAAACGAAACGATGAAACTGTTTATAAAAGCCCTCCGAGATGAAGAGCTTCACGAAAATCTTTTGCTAGCAAATAAACACAGCCTCAAAGATGCAGTCGCATATAGCCTTACGTTCGAAAAGGCAAAACAAACGACAAAAACTGATATAAAAATACATCTATTACATTAGAAGTTTTTATGTCAAAAAAGCCTTAAAAACCAGGACGAAGATATACCAAAATGCTGGAATTACGAAAAAAAGGAGCATATTCGACGGTTTTGCAAAAATAAAAAACTATTGTAAGAAACAATGGCTATCAACAGACAGAGAAATGTAAAATGAAAGATGGTAATCCTGCGTTACAGTTTTCTGCCACTAATAAAGTCAACTTAATGGAGCAAAAGTTGGCTTAGAGACCTAACACACCCAGCACCATAAAAACGTCTATAGATTACACCGGAATCGCCATAACCTTTAACTAGTGAAAAAAGTTGATTCACAAAATTGTACGATTATCATCGACATCGGGGCTACAAGCTCTATCCTAAGAAGCAACTTAGTTCCACATCCACGATATACATTACGAACAGCCACTGAAAGAACAGAACCGAGCAAAGATAAAAGTCGTTCACGTAGTCAGGCTTGCTTCTTTCCACGACAAAAATGTAAAAGGGAATAATCTAAGGAGAGAGTAATGTTACATCTAATGTTACATCAATATGTTTAAACTAGTCTGTGTTTAAGGCAGTTGTGTTTATCTATCAAAAATCAGTAAAGCTACGGTAGGTTGTAAAAATTAACTTTGGTGTTGTAAAATATATATGCATAATATATATATATATATATATAAATATATGGTGTTGTTTTACAACACCAAAGTTAATTTTTACAACGTCAAAGTTCATCTTGACAAAGTCAATATTTCCCTATATATACAGCAAGGAGCACTGATGATGATTCATTCGGAATCGAAATATGGCCTTATTTGCAGCATGAATTCGAAAAATAAGTTTATTTTGAATTTTAATAAACTAAACGTTCACCAAAAAACTTTAGTGAGAAAAATCGAAAAAACGAACTACAAACATACTAACGCCAAACATTCGGTAGAATTTATAGAATATTGTAAATATATATATATATATATATATATATATATATATATATATATATATATATATATATTTACAATATTCTATAAATATATAGAATATATATATACAAATATATATATATATATATATATATATATATATATATATATATATAATAAAGATAATATAAATTAAAAAAACATAAATAAATATACATACATACATACATACGTACATAATACATACGTACATATAACAAATAGATCCATACACAGACACACACAGACACACACACATACTTACAGATACATATACATACATTCCAACGTATAATTAAATAATACATATATGGTATATACATGCAAAAACCATTATTATTAGACAATTTTAACATCGAAGTAACGATAAATTATAGGATAATTATCGATAATGAATCGAGAAACCATTAGGCATTTATTGGAGCATTGTTAAATTATTGGGAAATAATTTAATTCCCGATGTCGGTATGTGTAACAATTATGATGCCAATAAGTACGGAATTTTTCGGTTCATCGATTAGGGAAAACCTATTATTACTAATACTAATACTTGCACATTAGAGCAATGAATATTTGTGTTCAGGCAACGATTACCAGTTTGATGTTAAACAAGGTACAGTTTTAAATGAAATGTTAATTATTTTACTTTGTTTTTAATCAAAATTAACAAAAGAAATTAAGCAACACTTATTATTTCGAAAGCGATAAAAAGCAGGCCGGGTCAGCTGTAATAATATAACAAATAATCAAATTTTACTAACCTGATCTGACGTAGATGGCTCATTCTCCTGAACACTAACTCTGTCAAATTATATAGTAATTCTGTTATCAAAATGGAAAAACGAAGAGATATCAGCCATTCGAAATAAAACTAGCGGAAACGCCAACAACAACAACAACAACAACGACAACGAAAATAGCGGAAACAATAACGACATAGAAAATAGTGGAAAAACTAGCATCAATAAAATCGATAATAACATCGGTTATGATAATAACTTTAACAATATTGATATCAACTACGAAAACTACAATAACGTCAATACTAACAGCGACTATAACATCAATGACAACAACAACATCAATAGAGATAACAACAACTATAACGACAGTAACGTCAAAAACCAATACCAAAACAAACACGGTGAGAGAAGGTGGGTTGGAATCCATTTGCATCGCCTGCTCACTGCAACACCACCTCAACCACAAGGATCAAAAACACCCCAAACTACTCGGTATCAATTTTGACACTTTCTTCACTTTCAGCTCACATACACAAACAATAGCTAAAAAATTCAACAACGAAACAAATTACTCAAGTAAGCACTAACTGGGGCCAGCAAAAAGAAACTCTCCTCACCACCTTCCAATCTATCTGCCGAATCGTCATCAACTATGCCGCATCCATCTGGCTTCTCAACATCTCCCAAAGCAATCTCCAAAAACTCTAAACCACCAAAAATTCTGCCTAACAAACTATAACCGACTGCCTCCTCATTACACCCATAGATCACCTACACCAAGAAACTAACATCCTACCTATCCTTCAACACTCCACCCTACTCACAGACCAATGTCTCGCCTAATGCCTCAATAGCAGTCATCCATGCCATCATCTAGTCGATGCCCCACTCGCGCCCAACAACATCCAACAATCAACACCTTTAACTCAACCCGACTAAAAAACTTCATATCAACCTTTCCTCATAATCACTCGAACAAATTTTAACTCCGTCATATCCACACTTCCACAGTCCTAAATACCATCAATTATTTAAAATCCAACCCTATATTCAACGGCCACCCACCTCCTATCAGCAGTAAAGTATTGAAGTGAGTAACGCAGTAAACTATTGAAGTGAGTAAAGTGTGAGTAAAGCAGTAAACTATTAAGGTGAGTAAAGTCGCCACAGCTCCACTTTACTCACCTGCCATGCAACTGCCATGCAAATCCCACCACACCCTCACTACCGCCGACCTTTGGGCGGACCCAGTGGCTGTTGCTTGATTTCTGAATATCTAATATATATTACAGCACCCCAAAAGGCAAGCTACAACAACAATAACAATACCAAAACAACTAAATTCTAAATTGAAATATTATAGAAATGTCATGAATAGCACGCATAAAGAAGATGAATTTGTGTTGAATAAAATAATAAAAAAAACTTGTAAAGCAAGTCGACAATAGCACAAAAAATACAAAGATGTGCGCGAAGGTGTAACTGTAAGGTGTCTGGCACTACTGCTTGCAGTGACCGAATTCGATTGCAAAGGAAATTCTCGCTCATCACATTTTCTTGTGTGTGATGCGTTGTTTCACGTTCATTTACAAGCACTGTGTTTGTTTTGGATGCCTCTGAAAAATTGAAGCGAGTATTAGAATAATTAAATAAAGAGAAAGTTTCGATTGAACTAGAACAAAACAGGCAACAGTTCATTACTTTCATTTCGGAATATTTAGCATAACATAAAACAGTAGATGAAAAATTTGCAGAGATCTCGAGAAGTCACGATGACGACAAAACTGAACGTGAGCGGAAAAACTTGTTAGAGAGGCAAGAACAAGATACAACTAAAACTTATAATAATTAATCAATTTATTTATTTTTTATATTTCTATAAATTAGAAAAGAAACAACTTTCTTGATGCCCTTTCTGTCACCCTAAAGATTTATTTTCTATTTATAGGACTATAATTATCCAGGTTTATTTAATAATATCACACACATAAAATATTGAGAAAAGTTTTTGGCAAAATACATATTGAATTTAATTACATAAAAACCTTATTTTCAGCCAGTAAATGATCTGAGTTGTGAATCCTCCCAACAAGAAGACAGTTAATATGATAACAATCAATGTGATGGACAGAATTGTTTGTCTAGCAACCGTTGAAGTGTTCCTGATGGCCAATGTAAACGCCAGGGCCCCTCTAAGCCCTAAATTTGATTAATTGAAATGTTTTATGTGTGAATGTAACTGTCATAAATTTAAAAAATAATTACGACATTGTATGGTACGCCGAANATGATCAATCAAATTAATTCGTGAAAAAAAACAAGAAAATATTATTAACTGAAGATTGTAGCTCCAAAAGTCTTTCTTTGTCTGACACGACGTTAAGTTAGCTCTTCCATTTTTGCGTAAACTATAGAAAGCATGATTATGTTGAGAGGACATCTCGGACCCAAAAAATAATTTCATTCAGATTTAAAGCTAAGTTATTGTTCAGGAGAGGCAAGAATTTTTACATGATTGTCCATTAATCCATGCGCAATAATTGCAAACTTTTAGTTACAGGGTTACAAAATTCATTTCTACCAAACCAAAGATCAGATTCATCAACAATGAAAAATCGAATGCTTATCAATGGTTAATTCATAAGCTAATAAAAATTCCAAGTACACGGATACAGAGTTTTGTCAATCTTGAACTCCAGCGAAATAAGTCATTAAAGAAACTAAGCAAACGCTGCTTGGTAACGTGTCGATTTAGAGTTTGTTTTATTATTTTTCTGGAGTGGATAAATGAGGTCCGAAATTCGTTGCGACTCTCTTGTGTCAAATCAGCACATAATAAGACATTAGAGTTAGCTGAAAACAAAATTCTGAGCTGTTGATGTTAGAAACGGTAACCAAATAACATGCATCTAACAAATCAAAGCAAAATTGACCTGAATGTATATTTAAATTGATAAATAGTAAAAAATCCAAACTATTCATCGACGTTAGAAAATTTTCAGGTTGTTGCATCCAAACTAAGCCCATTGCAGCAATGAAGTGCAATTTATTCATGCGCTGGCAGATGCAACTGTTAGGAATAACCTTCACAAGTTGCATCGACGGCAAGTCAATTGGATTTTAAAAAAACGTATTAATATTAATAAAATATTTACATGTGTGACAGATGGATAAGTAACAAAAATTATTAAAAATCGACAACAAATTCCATTTAATTTAAAAAAAATAAGAAAAAATCAAATCAAGAAAATCAAAAAAGCATTACGAAACTAAAAAAGTTTTTAATCAGTAAATCAGTAAAAAGATTGATACAAACAGCACATTTAAAAAAATAGATTGAGTAGCAGAATGGCTTCAAACATCTTTTCAATTGCAATTACAACGTTAAATTGAGTCTTCTGAAACTTTATAGATTTATGAATGTACATTTTATGTAAAAAAGCATTTGGCCTTCAAAAACTTAAACCTACATCCCAACCAACATGTTAATAAACGGTTCAAATAATTTTCTATTTACCGGAGGAATAGTTTTAACGATATAGAAAATACAATGCACAATTACAATGCATAAATATAATAGACATATGCAATTAACTTACTATGGGTGGCTAGCAACAAATAGGACGAAATGTAATCGGGGAGTAGTTGAATAAATTTATTAATGGAGTTGAAGGTTGGCGATGGAGGTTTTTATCGTTAACAAAAGTTATTAACAGTTAAACTAACCAGAAAAAAGCATGACGTGTTGCATATTGCAGGTTATTTTGTGGACTCTCCCTAGGTTGAGAAGGAAAGATAACGGGTAGATGTGACACATTCGGCTGACGATGACCGAAAACTTTTAAATATCAAATAAGGAAAAAATTTTGATGTGGCATTAACTTGAAATGTGAACAAAATTATGATTTAGAGAAACTTAAAATGATAAATTCAAAAATTTGAATGACTGTGAAAATAATTGAAATTTATTATTACAACCGTAACATTGTATAAACAACATATAACTGGTATAGAAATCAAGTTGATATAAAAAATTCACTTTAGAACATACTCAGACATTCGAAAATTAATTTGAACTAATTTATTAACCACAGCAAATATAGTCAATCCAGCGTCCCAGGAATGGTATTGAAAAGTAAATGTTGAAACGCCAATGTATGTGAAGACAAAATTTTCCATCAAAAAATTCATTAAACTGAACAGCTGAAAAAAGTTAACGCAGATTTAAATTAAAACAAATATCATATAAATCTTCATTGTTATTAACTTGAGAAGTATCAGAAAAAATGTTGTGGAATGAGGTAAGGAAGTTATGGAGATTTATATGAAAGATTGAGAAAATTAAATCAGAAAATATTTCAAGAAAAATAAAAAAATTATTAAGCACACCGCTTTTGTGGCAGCATGAAAGTTCAATGATAAGGATAAAATAACATTTAAGCAGCTCTGCGTTTTGACAGAGCTGCCTTATAAAAAAAAAAAAAAAAAAAAAAAAAACAGAATGCAGTCCAAATGCGATAACATCATATGAACACGTAAAAATTTTTGCCAAAAGTTGAAACATTGGTGATCAAGATTTCGGCTAAACTTCTTGAAAAATTGAGCTGGAGTAGAAGAGCTGTACAAGAACATTTTGTAACACGAAACATAACACAAAGTGCGGTGAAAATTTAAAAAATAGAATTTGGAGGTTATTAATAAGTATAAAAGTCATTCCAGGAAAGCAAAGAAAAAATGTAAAATAGTTGAAAAATTCAGAGCAAACGGTAGAAAATGAGGAAATGACGTTGGAATAGAGAAGTAAACAAAAGCACGTGGTAGGTGGAGTGTGAGAGGATCATCTAATTTTCTGCTCCAGCAATTCCAATATCGAATAATTTTTAAATTGCTGATTGCTTCTAGTGAATTGATAAACTTTTGTATATATGTGTGTTCTTATTTTTAAATTGATTATTGTATTCACGGTGGTCTTTACAAGTTTTGTTATTTTTATGTGATGTCCGTAAATCCGCATAATCTGTTTTTTTATTTTGTGTTTTTGAATTTTAAATAAATAAAATTTTGAATTTTTTTGAATTTGAATGATGCGTGATGACAACGATCTCGCATATCTAATTTATATTTCAATCTATGCCAAGAGACCATACAATACTTGCATAGTGCATTCATTGTAATAAGATCCAAAAAAAATTTACCAATATTAATGTGAAAAAGTGTGTGCGGCAACATTTTTTATCTGAGCCAATTTTAGCCGCGAAAACTATTATAGTGATCACTATAGAACGAAGATTATTCACTCATGAAAAAAGAAATCATTAGCGCTATTTTATAAATATATGTTTATGTTCACATCAGATCAGAATAAGAAAAAACAACAAACCTCTCTAGTGTTGTTCTGAGATGTAGCAGATAAGTTGTTGTATGTGTAATGAGCCTGGCATATGCCGCAAAATAATAAAGCAACAATACCTGAAGATAATTAACTGTTTTATAAATTTTCTAACTTCAAATTAAATTTATTATTAAAACAATTTCTACTATTTAAACAAACATAGATCAACATACAATGTATCAAAATGATTTTCGCCATTCTTACATATGTCAACCATTTATTTTGATTTCATATAAAATCTCAATGATTTAATGAAATAAATAACCCAAAAATATATTACCATGAATTTTTATCGGATCGGCAAACTTACAAAAATTGCAAAAGGTATAAAATTAATATTAATCTCTCACATCGAAAAATAAGTTTAAAATCAACAAAGAAATGTAAAGTTAAAAGAGCTTACCCGTGAGATCTAAGCATTCAGAAGCTAAAAAGGTGGCATATGACATTAGAACGAAAAGCGAGGTTTCCAAGGTTGGATAGTTTTTTAATTTTGTAAATTTAGTTAACTAACATTTTGAAAAAAGTTAAGTCAAACAAACTTGTAATTTCAATGATTTAATCAAATTTTAAATAATTTCAATATAATTCTAGTAAAAGTTCAAAAAAATTAACAAAAGAATTTTTACTACCAACAACAATCAAAGGTTTGTACGAACTACAACTTAAATCTTCAACGTCCTCAAAGTTTCTCTAATTCTTTTCATTTGGCGTCCAACCGAGGTTTAATATAGCTTGGTCATGTTTTTAGTCACAACCTCGAAACAGGTGAAAAAATTTAGAAGAATTTAGCTTTGAAACCATGCCTTCACCCTTATTATTAAAAAAGTTTTTAGTTCTGTAAACATAACTAACCCAAAACCTATCTAGTTTCGGATCATCCATTAAGCAATCAAACTCGTTCTTTCTTTATAATGTTGTTGTTCATAGTTTATGAAAAATTGCTCCTTAGTTTTCTATGCTTTTCAATATTTTCCCAAGTAATTGCGTTCTTTCTTTATAATGTTGTTGTTCGTTGTTTATAAAAAAATTGTTCCTTAGTTTTCCAGGTTTATCAAAACTTTCCCAAGTAATTGCGTTTCCAATTTCAAAAACACGCAGCTCCTTATAAAAGCAGAATACATTTTTTTATGATTATGGTAATTTTATGCTATCACAACAATAAGGAAGGACCTTTTTTAACAAACCCATGTTTTAAGAAGCAGTGAATTAAAACGATTTGTTAGAGGCAATGATTGAGAATCTGAACAAAATAAACACTTTCAAAAGAAAAAGCGTGTCCATAGCTAGTAATAATTTTTAATAGTTTGCCACCGCGTTCAAGTTTCAAATCATAATCAAAAGTTAGAAAAGTGTTTCTGCTAATTTAACATTTTTTCAAAGAAAACTTATATAAACAATTTTTATTTATAAAATCTTAAAATTAATTGTAGAAATTACAAAAATTTAAAGGATACTAGGGCGGTAACACCACCCATAAAACATCCAAATAACAAAGATCCAAAAAAAATCTTCATAAAGATAGCTAAACAGTTTAGGAAAGCCATACCATCAAATCCTGATTTGGCACTCTTGTAGCTCTCAATTGACCTGCAAAGAATAGTCCAATAATTAAAATGAATAACAGCACATTTAATAGTAATACAATAACCAATCAATCAAACCAACCGACTGAAGATGATAGGACGACCTAAGACCACATATGTGACACTACTATAATATTTGAAGAAGCTAGATTAAGCTAATTTAGAAATAAAGTTGAAAGACTTGCAGAATAAATAGACTAACAAAATGATTTGTGAACTCGATAAAAATGGCCAAAAATAGTAGTGTCGTTAATTGAATTTCAGAATGACTCAATTATGAAAATGTACAAAAGTTTTGATTCCAAAAAATGTGTGGTTTTGGATAACAAACATCGAAATATAGAAAATTTGCTGCAGAAACTCCGTTATATTAAAAGTACATAATTTTTTCATACATAAAGTTTAGATCCAGACTAAAAATATTCATCAGTCACTCTGGAGATGATTTTTACTCAAAATTTCGAATTCCAATTAATTCGACAAAGTCGTTTAAAATATTCCAGTAAAAATAAATCTTGTTTTTATTGCAATTTATCAAAAAATTGTGATTTGAGTGGTAAATTATTGCCATAATGATGCATTTACTAATGCATTTGAAGTATAAAGATATCCAAAAAATGTCGTTAAAATGGTTGAGGCCCGTGAAATTATTTTTCTCTTAAAAACGGCCCGCCGCCAGCCAAACGAGTTTGACATTTCCGTGGTAAATAAATCTCAGCTATGAAATCACTTTTCTTTTATTCCCTTCTTTTTATATACTTGTCTTTTTGTCATCTTAATATGTGATGTTCTATTTTACAATTTTTACCCACATCCAATGTATTTTGGGATCAGCTATCCAACAAGAGTTATCCAACATTCCATTGAGCGTTAATTTAAATTGAGTATAATTTAATTTCAACTGAATGAATGATTTCACGAGCTTGTCTCTGTAGTAAAATGTTATAATAAAACGCGAAACTGAGAGAGTGGTGTTTTTTTTACTAAAATGTCCTGGCAAAAAAAAATCAAATATCTACAATAAATGCGGCAAGTAGAGCCTTCCGATGACAACGTAAGAATAAATCAGAAAACTTAAAAGATAAATTAATTAATTAACAATAACAGTAAATAACAAATGTAAACAATAAATTCTAATGACAATTGAATAAATTTAATATAAAGGTGTTTTTAATTTTTAAAGAATGTTATTAATGTAAACTTTTACAAAATAGCATGAAGCATCACCAACTTTGTAAGAGTAAGAGCCACAGCATCATTTAAGACACTCTCGCCAAATACGATAGCATACAGATCAACATCAACATTCAGATCATTAAATATAGCCAAAACCGTCACTATAAATAGTAAGATTGTTATAGAATCAATTAAAAAGCAACGAAAATTTTTTTTTTTTAAATAAATTTTACCCGGATCAGTAGCAGATATAATGGCTCCAAATAACAAACAATCGGTAAACATTGTGAGCTTCGTTGACTTTATTAATAAAACAAACCCATACATAAGACCTCTTGAAATAACAAAAACACATTTTGGTTAGGCGCATCATTTTTTTGATTTTAAATAATTTGACAAAAATTCCATCACACGAAAACATTAATTCCTTATTTTTTACTAATCCAATTTATATTTTATTATATTCATAAAAGCTTTACCTATAAACTTTTTAAAACATAAGTTAAAATAATGTTGTTAAACTTTTAGGATATAAAAATAACAGATAACGACTAATTGGGAAAAACAAAAAGGAAAATCTTTACTAAACAAATTTAAGTTGGTACCTAACCAAGGGGGAATGCGGTAAGTTTGCAGTATTTCATCAAAGTCAAAGGCCAGCAAACAGTGAAAAAAAGAACTATTATTTGATTTAATTTTACTTCATATATTTCATTTTGAAAGAACGATTCTTTTATTTTTAACTCTCAACAGATAGTCTAGTTTTGCTTATTTTTATTATGCTATGTTTGTTGTTTCCATATAATTTATTGAGGATGAGGTCTGTTTTGTGGTACACGGAGACATTGGTAAAAAAAGTAAAGTTTAGACATCATACGTTTTTTGGCGTTTCCGAGATGGAGGTCGATGACGACACGACTTTCAGGTTCTTTTTGAGAGAAGCTCTTAGTTGCTCATCTATTTCTTCAAATGAATCGAGATGTCTTTTCGTTTCATTTATTTCGTCTTTCAACTGTTTTTTACTGTTTGTTTGGCTTCAAGCAAGCAAGAAAAAGTTATGTTACGATTTAGGAGATTACAAAGGTTTCAAGGAATCTTTGTCAGCTTCGCTGAAATTTATACCAGCTTTAAACTTGGAAGACAATTGGAAGACATTTAAAAATAAATTGATGGAATGTACATATGAATTTGTTCCAAAAATAAAAAAATACTTATTTCATATTTAAGGTGAATAATGAACTTAAAGAATTAATCAAACAAAAACATTTAATTTGAAGATGTGTTTTTAGATATGGGGATAACAATTTAGATAAGTTTCATAAAATTTGAGTCAAAGTGAGAAAATGTTCAAGGTGTTAAAACAACAGTCAAAGGAATCAATTGCTAGAGAATATAAAAATAATCCTAAATTATTTTGAAATCATGTAAAGAAATGCATCAGATATGATGGGTTAGCTGGTCCATTGTCAGTAGAAGGCAGAATTGTTACCAATGTAAATGGAAAAGTTAAAGTATCTGCTAGTTTCTTTTCTTTGGTCTACGAAAAAGACATTTCTTTTGACAATAGAAAGTGTTTCATCCATAAAAGTTCAATTAAAAATAGAGAAGATTTGATAATTAACTAACAGATGATATCTGCAAAGTTAAAGCATCTGAAGACATACAAATCAGCGGGGCCGGATGAAACACATTCAAAAGTTTTATGAAAAATGAAAGATATAATTAGTAACCATCTGTGTGAAATATTTCAACGTTCACTGGATAAGGGCATTGTATTTGACGACTGAAGAATGAGCCATGTGGCATCTTTGCACAAAAAAGCCGCAAAGATATGGTACAGAATTGTCATCCTGAGTCACATACGTCAATTTGCTGTATGATTATGGGTGGATTGTTGAAGGACGATATCATAAGACATTTCATAGATAATAATCTTTTTACAAGTAGTCAGTTCGGCTTCATACCTGAATGTTCAGCAGTCTTACAACTATTGAAATTTTTAGAAGCGGTAACAGGGGGAGTTAACAGGGGTTGCGAGAAAAATGTAGTCTACATGGATCTGGAAAAGGCATTTGACAAAGTCTCGCAAACTAAGTCAATACGGGCTAAACAAAAATATAATAGGTTCCATATAATTGGTTCCAAAAAATCATGTTTTCAGAATACAATTTTGGAAGGTGATGGATCGTCATTTTGTCTGCCAGAGGTTTGTGAGATGTCAGATCTTGGAATATTAATTGACAACAGGTAGAACTTCAGAAACCACGTGATGAAAGCAGTAAACAGAACGAGTACCATGCTGTGTGTGGTTGCCAGAAAGCCTGTCAAAAGCCTGTAATCTTGTACAAATTTTTAGTAAGATCACATATTGAGTATGGTGTGCAATTATGGTTTCCTTATAGAGTTGGATTGATAGATGAATTGGAAAGAACTCAAAAAGAACAACACGAATAGTGGCTTCTTGTAGAAGAACAACACGAATAGTGGCTTCTTGTAGAGGTTTCCATATGATGAAAGACTCAAGAAACTGAAATTGCCCTCACTTACATACAGACGTCAAAGGGCCGATCGAATTTTGTTGTTTAGAATAATTTATGATGAAATAGATAAAGTTAGTAAGAAGTCAGCAACAAGAATTGCCGCAAATTTTATTTTTTAATAGAGTAGTAGACGACTTGAACAGAATGCCCACAGACGCGGTCAATGCTGTTTCCCTGAACAATTTTAAATCAGCAGTCTATGATTTTTTTGAAAAATATCATGTTTGACTGCAGAGTTAGCATATGATTATTATAATTTTGTTCATTTCAATCAATGTATCGGTATTTATTCCTATAAATTATTTTTGCATTTGCTACATATTATTTTGTTTATATGATGAATCGTTTTTTTCTGTTCTTTTAAACCTGCGTCGTGCTGGTGTAGATGATATAAAGGACGAATGCCGGCAACACCGTCTGCGGTGCTTTGGTCATGTCAAACAAAGTGGAAACAGTGCCATAACTTCTTTTGCAGATGTTAAAGTGCCTGGGACATGTCCTTAAGGCCGTCCAAAGAAATCCTGGTCGCAAACAATCGAGCAAGACATGAAAGCTCGCTCTAAATTTAAATGAAATGGATACAACTGATCGCCTAATTTGGCGCAAAAAAATTGATGGCAGAGAAAACAACGTCCTACCTCGGGGGAACCGGGCCTCTGGACGCTAAACGAAGATTGATTGATTGACTTCTGCTTGTGTGTATGTGTGTTTTTGTAATGTGATTGAAAATCGTGTATTTATTTTCTATCCAGCTTCATTAATTTTTTTTTGGAGATTTGGTTACGATTTTTTTTTCTGTATTTTTGTTTAATAAAACCCAATAAAAAGTAAATAATTGCCAATAAAACTAATACCAATAAATTTGAAAACATACCCACCCAATGACTAGCGTGGATATTGTTGTGCCTATGAACGCTATCACTGTTATTGCTCCAATGTTGCGGAAAAAGTGTTTCTGTCAAAAATAATTTCATCTTTATGATAAATAAAAAATCTTTAAAAACTAGAATATCCATGAAACATCGCAAAATTATTTAGATCAACACTCGTGAATTTCGAAATTATTAATAACAGAGAAATAAACTAAGTGTGATAGTCATGATAAATTTTTTAGATGCAGTGATCGCAATGAATATTATTTACAATGTAATTTAATTTCATTTTATATAATAAAGTGAATTTATTCTAATTCAGTATCATTTTATTTAGATACTAAAAAATACTTTTGGATCAGTAATGACTAAATGACCAGCAGCTTTCAACAAATAAATAAATAAATAAATAAATAAATAAATAAATAAATAAATAAATAAATAAATAAATAAATAAATGAATGAATGAATAAAATAAATAAATAAATATGAATGTGCATGAATGAACGAATGAATGAATAAATAAATAAATATTGAAATAATAAGGACTGTTGAAAAACAACGAAAAGCGATGAGAAATAAAATTATTGAGTGATGTAATTAATTATAACATCACTCATTATAACGCCGATGATTACTGAGTGGTCAAAATTGACTTGAGGGGCATAGGAATGAATTTTTTTTGGTACGCTGAATGAACATGTGGAGACTGCATAGCTGTGCGTTGTGGTTTCAACAAGTGGTAATAAAGACGTGAATTGTATTTTCTTAAACAAGTAATTGTCTAATGTGTTGTTATTGATAGAAATGTTCTTCCAGGATAGGTGTTACATGACGAAATTTTAGTCCACCAGTTTTGCAGCTCTTTTCTGAATTGATTTAAGGACAGCGATTGACCTGTCCGACAGTCTATAAACAGACTGTTGCAATAATCCAACCATTGATAATAATTTGCAAAAACCAAAGTTAGATGATGTTGTAGTGAATGACATTTTAACGTCGCCAATCCCAGCTAAACTAAAATTAAGTTTTGACAACTGCTCTCACATACCAACTGGAAGCAACTGTGTTTTATATTCGCTGAGCTTGAGCATATTAGATGACATCCAATATTCAAACACTGGACAAATCTGTCGATAGTGATTGATACCTGAATGTCATCGGTAAACGCATGACAAGCAAACTCCTAAGAGCTAATTATTTTTATAACATCTGCTGCATACAGAAAGAAGATCCTTGTGATACTACCGTTGTTGCCAAGGCAAAGTTAGACTGAATTTCTTATTGAAACTTGTTATGTTGTTCGGTTTGTTAAATACGATCTTAACCATTTATAAGAAGTGTCTGTGATACCATCATTGTGATGCAGTCTTTTCTATAAAACATAGTGGCGTACACATACTTGTAAGCACTTGTTTTTATAACATGTCTGTAACGAAGATGAGCTTTGTTTATTGAAAAGTGTTAATGTTGTTCCTAACTTTAATAAGTTGACTGCTGATTTTCAAATTAATTTTAGAAAAGATTTCTCCGTTTTAATTTTTTAAAAATGTAGTTTTAATCAATTTTTAATAATTTTAGAAGTTGATTTTTGGGGACAGCTGTATATTTTTATACTTACAAAGAAGCTAATTGTTTATACAGCTTTGAAGTTGTATGCCTTGAAAAAAATTGCAAGCTGCGTAGAAGTATACAGAAAACACTGTTCAAACACCGAATATGACGCCCTTATACAAATTGAAAAAAACAAGAAGTGAGCTATAAAGACAGAGTCAATCATCTGAAAGTTGGTCACTTGAACACAAACAAACAGCCTCTCATGAAAACAATCTCCATGTGGCTTCTTAAAAGTCGGCATGTATCCTATGAAATCACATCAAATCAGACCACATCAAATCTACAAAAATCTTAGGTCGTGCTGGTTTAGATGATATAAAGGATGAATGCCGGCAACACCGTCTGCGGTGGTTTGGTCATGTCAAACAAAGTGGAAACAGTGCCATAACTTCTCTTGCAGATGTTGAAATACCTGGCACACGTCCCAAAGACCGTCCAAAGAAGTTCTGGTCGCAAACAATCGAGCAAGACATGAAAGCTCGCTCTAAATTTAAATGAAATGGACACAACTGATCGTCTAATTTGGCGTACAAAATTGATGGCAAAGAAAACAACGTCCTACCTCGGAAACTGGGTCTCTGGACGAAGATTAATTGATTGATATCCTCTGAAAATGTTTTTCTCCAGTAAGCGGTATCACATGGGAATTGTTGCTTTGACGCTACCAGAAACAGAGAAACACCCAAGATTGAAGTAGTCAAACAGTCAATTCGTCATCCATGTGGTGAAGTGGTCATTATTTTGATTGAATTCTATCGCTACACTAAGATTGACATAAAATTTAAAATTCTGTCCCAAATCGTTTGAATACTTATTTGTCACTACACTTCCATATCACTTCAAAAAATGATTTGGAATACTATGCTCATCACAGATAACTCAGGGGTTTTTTGATGAAATCCGTCAGCTTTTAAAAAACTTATTACAGATCGTCGTTATGGGCTATATCAACATACATCTTGAAGATTAAACAAATTCACAGGCCATTCAGCTAGCCAGTTTACTATGGCGTTTGGTCACTTATTTTGATGTGATCTAAGGGGAAGAATTATTTTCACAACAATGCATTATCATCAAAATTGCAATCTGGATTTTGGAAAAATCACTCAAGAGAGATGGCTTTTCTGAAAGTTCTCTCTCGGATGTGTGATGCAATCGATGGTGGTGGGAAAATTGCAGTAATCACCCTAATGACATTGTGCTGCTTTTGACACCATTGATCATAAAACTTTGTTAAATCCCCGAAAGTCATCATGCAGTTGTGATGGCTCAACTTTGGGCTGGCTAGCATCATATTAGTCATCAAGAACACAAACGGTAATTGTGGATATCAATGATTGGATGTTGCAAGTTCAAGTTTTATGCATGGGGTTTTGTAGGGATTAGTCCTCTGGCCACTGATGTAATTTTTCGTTTTTACACGGCTGATATCATCAAAATTATTTAATAAAGTGGTCTCCAATTTCATTTGTATGCTGATGACATCCAGCTATACGATTTTTTGACCAAAAAATCATCACAAATCTTCAGCAAAAAATGATGAATTTGATAATTATTGTTGTCAGTCAATAAATTGGGGCTAAATGTTGAAATTTGAATAAAACAGATTATTGTTGTTAGTCAATAATAAGTAATTACAAAACGTTACCTTTTTCATTTGATATCCGGCATTGAAAATAATTGGAGGTAGAATCACATTGAAAAACACTTCAGGATCGAATGTTGCCTGGTGGCATAATTAATTCAAATAATATTCAATTAAATCAAATAGCTTTCAATTAATTCAAATGACATTCAATTAATTTAAACAACCTTCAATTAACTCAATTAGTGTTTAGTTAATTAAAATAATATTTAAATAGTTTAAAGGAATGCATAACTTATTACACTGGGGACTATAATACTGCACACTCTGACATTAACCTCAAACAAGGTAGGTGGAAAATAATTACATTTTTTTATCTAAATGATGCACAAATTAAAAAGATACGTAAATAAAAAAAAAATTAAAAAAGTGAGAAAAAAATATACTAGCTTTTTCTTGCAATTCATTTTTACTACTCTCTGTCACTGTTTCAACTTGATGTGAACAAACATTAAATACGGAGACAGGGTTGACAGTGGATTGGTTGGTAGAGTTAAAATAATCATTTCCCTTTTTTTCTTCAGGTTTTTTAATAGCGTATGCAATAATAGCCCCAATTATTAATCCTAGAAGATATAAAAATAAACAAAGATAAAAATCTTTAATAAACAATTAGAACTCATTCAAAAACTACAATTTATATGACCACATTTTGGCTTTCAACGACATTTTTCAACACATGTGTAAAATGATGACTCGTGTGAAGCATGATGGACATATGAGGACTGAAATTCTTTTAAAACGATAACCTAGCCATTGCACTATTGTGCAATTGCTAGGTTATACACTTACATTCAAAATTTAAATTCAAAAATTTAAGTGAATGAATTGTCATGGCTCATGACAGCTGGGCCAACCTAATAACTAGTAGCTTCTTTCAAGAAAGAAGCGCTCATCAGTGTATGTTGGCTGTTTAAAAAATAAGAAAATTAAAGATAACTTTTAAAAATATATAAAAGGTAGGAAAAAATTAATTCCTTAGAGACACTTCAAACATTACAACAGAAAAATAAGAATAAAAAGATAAATATCTCAACGACTACAAAAGATTATCAAATTGATAAATGAAGTTAAAGCTAAAATTGCAAGAATTAGTAGGATTTAAAATTTTAAATAATAAAAAGTAAATATTTCAGTGAAAATACTAATGAAACCTGCTGTACCAAAAAAGCTGAAAAGTAGTCAGTGCAAAAGCAGATAAAAAGATTTGGTGACACCAGCAATGAGGAGGACATCTTTAGAAAATATTTGAATAAAAAATGCTTGTGTGTTATAATAATATAGAACATGATGAAAACCAAATTGAGAGAACTGGAAATAAAAAGTTTATGTGTATTAGTATTATAATGTAGATCAGTCAGTCAATAATTTGGTCATCATAGAACTTTATTTAAGAATCGAGATTAATAGAATAGACAAATGAGAAAACAGTTTTTGACATGAAAAAAAATTTTTAGCATAAATTTCTTATTCTTGACATATAATGATAATATTAATAATAACCATGACTGAAAATGAAATAGGGTTGATGATGAGGTGAGAGATAGGATTTATATTTTATTTTATAAATGTTCATGTATGTAATCATTACATTACATTACATTACATTGTAGTGTTTTTTGAATTTATACATATATGAAGTTTGTAAAAATTAATTTAATATACTATAAAATAAACACATTACTATATTAATATATACAGTATTGAATAGTTACTATACTATATTAATTATATTATAAATTATATTAGAATAGTAAAACATAACTCAATCAAGGCAAAATGAACTATTTCTATTTCTAAAAGATGCTGGTCTTCTTTTAATAATGATATTTTTCTTCAATCTCTTGCTGAAACTGTTTTTGATACTACCTTATTTTCTGATGTTGATGATTTTGTCTATGCTTTTAATATCTACATTACTTCTATTCTTGATAAGCTCATTCCTCTTAAATCTTATACTTATAGGCTCTATTCTCGTAAGGCTCCTTGGTTTGATTATGCTTGTGTATTAGCCAAGAAAAATGTTAGAAGACTAGAGAAAGCCTATAGGTTAAATCCATCTAACTCTCTTTATTCTATTTATCAATCTGAATTAATTAATTAATCTACTATTCTTTAAACACTCAACTTTTCTTAGAAATTATATAACATCTGCTTCAACATCTAAAAATAGGTGGTCTGTTCTATCCAAATTTCTTCATAAGAAATCCTCTCACTCATCTTTTTCTGTTTAACAGTTTCATGGCTTTTTTGTAAATAAAATTACTTCTTTAAGAACATCTAATTCTAATTTTTCTCCTCATGACTTTACTAAGCTTACTACTAAATCTTGTTCCGTATTTACTCCAATAAATCATCTAGAACTTACTAAAATTATTAATTCCATGTCGTCTACAATCTGTTCTCTAGATCTACTTCCTTCTAATTTACTTAAAAAAATTTCTTCAACATTTTATCCTATCATTTTCAAATTAGTTAATTTATCTTTTTCCACCTTCAAATTTCCTACTTCTTATAAGATTTCTATTATTATTCCTCCTATTATTTTACCTGATTCTAAAACTCTTGATGTTTCTCACAAGTTTTGTAGTCTAGGCTTTATCTTTGATTCTAGTAGGTCTCTTTCTTCTCAGATTAATAGTGTTGCTAAAAGTTCTTACTTTCATCTACATGGAATAAAAAAACTTTTGCTTTTTCTTGATGATCCTACTCTTCTCCTTCATGTTACTTCGTTAGTCTTATCTAGGATTGATTATTGTAATTCGCTCTACTATAGTCTTCCTGATTCTATACTCTATCCTTTAAGTAAAGCTTTTAACTCTGCTGCTCTTCTAGTTGCTCATGCCCCTCTCTTTTCTCATATATCTCCATATCTTGTTCTCTTGCACAAGCTACCTATAAAATATAGAATAATTTTTAAAATTTGCACATTTATGTATAAGTCTCAATCTAAATTATTTCCTAAGTACTTATCAGATATATTAATTAAACCTCTAAATGCCCCGGTTTACGATCGTCTTCTTCTTCTCGCTTCTTTTTAACTCATGTTGAACAGATTTTTGCTAAATCTGCTTTTGCTTTTTCTGGCCCTTTTTTCTGGAACTCTCAACCTACTTCTCTTACTACTTCTCCATCACTTACGAAGTTCAGAGCGGATCTCAAGACCCATCTGTTTGCAAAATTCATTGAGGAGCGCTGTTGAAATTAGCAAAAATAGCGCTTTACAAGCTAAATGATTGATTGATTGAACTAAAAAATTAGGAAGACGGAAGAGGAAGACAGTGATTACTACATACATGTCATTAATTTTAATTAAATAAAATAAAACGAAAGTCACCGTAAATTATGGCTAAACCGGTTTCATGAATGAATCTGAACCTCCTCTGTTTAAAAAGCCAAACTGTAAGTATGGTAATCAAAAGTAAAATTACATATATCAACAAATTCAAGCTATCAACTCTGTGTGTTGCTTCAGCTTTATCATCGTATTCTCGCTCAACGTTTTCTTCGGAGTTACATAAAAGAACATAATTGAATAAAAAAATCATACAAGCTTTCAAGTTGTGTATCTCCATTACGCAGTAAATATTTACAAGCAATTTTTTTATTTTTTATTATTAATTTTTTGGCATATATATATATATATATATATATATATATATATATATATATATATATATATTATATATACATAGCGATACGATGTTCATTAGCAAAATTAACCAAATTTACCTGCAAAAAAAATCGGGAATGGGTCGTTAATCGATATTCGATATATTCGTAGCATAGCCATCTTAGAATAGTTAATCTACCCTACTCATATTATTCTAATTATATGCATTGTGCATACATACATTTAGAATCAATGTATAAAGACTAATAAACTTAGAAACAGAGGAATCATTGATAATGATTGCACAAAGTTGAAGATCGTAATAACTAACTAAATGACCGTCAAGTATTCACATTAAACAAAAAATAATTAGCATTGTAGAGACACAGTGTATATGTACTTGAGCATTTGACCACATACAAAACATATCAATTCGAACACCGAAGATGGTATACGATATAGAAATACTGAAAAAAGCTTTTTTGTTCCCCAGATAGCACGATAATACGGGCCGGTGCCGGGCGAACGTCGAAAATTACGGCTATGTCCGGCATAATATGGCTGCGCATTATACATGTACGCTCCGACAGCGGTTCGTAGCACAATGGCCGGCACAATAATCCCGGCAGTCAGCCGTAATGTTCATTTTTTTATTTAACAATAATAATCAACATAATTAAAATAAAAAACTCATATCTTTATGTTTTTACTCATATCTGTATGTATTTAACACAAAAAATAAAGAAAATATTGTTTTTAAAATAATTACGGCGCTCATTCATTTTGCCGTCATTTTCCCGTAAAATGGTTTAACGCGTAAAATACTATGTTTATAATCGTATATATGTATATATATAAATGCGTGTATATATATATATATATATATATATATATATATATATATATATATATATATATATATATATATATATAAGGTTCTGAATGGTTGTTAATGCCGGGGTGGTGATGGGGATAAGCTCCCATCATCTATAAAATGGTCCCATATGGCAAGCGTCTCAAAGAGCCTCTGACAACCAAGCCCAAATCCTGGCCTTCACGCGGCAGAACTGTTTAAACTAACAGAAGAAGGGGCGAAGGCGAATAACTGGCGCCATAACCAGTTGCTTCGGGCAGGTGAAGCTCGTTAGCCTTGGTCGGCTATTTACCTAGGAAAAGGAAAACTCTGACTTCAAACCTCCGTTGCCTTGCGGCATACCTGTTCATGGGAAAGGCTATGGGAGCAAATCCAGACAGAAAACCACACTCCACCACCTGAGTTGTGGTCCAGTAATATCAGGTGCCGGTCCAAAGTCCGGATAGAAAGGAATGGTTGACAGGAGCTTGCTACACTGTCGTAAAAACGCTAATAACACGATGGTAGTCCAAAAAAAGTATGCACATACCGGCTCGGACGTCACCCGGGTGAACAAGGTCCGCGCTGCAGCTTTGGGGACTAGAGGAGGCTGCAGTGTAAAGTATGCTACTGAGTCCCAGAAAGATAGACTGAAGATGGGGTTGACAGTTGGAGTTTGGAATGTCAGGTCATTGTGGCAGACAGGGACTTACGCGTTGATGAAGAAAAAACTTGAACGATTCAGATATGATGTGGTTGGTCTGTGCGAGGTCCGATGGACAGGAGGTGGAGAAATGGAAGGTGGGAAGATATTATGGTCTGGAACAGAGAAGGAGCACGTCTATGGAGTTGGAATGGTTATTGGCAAAAAAGCAAAAAAAGCACTGTTGGAGTACAATCCAGTGAATGAAAGAATGATGTATGCGAGGTTTAAGGGATACCCAAAAGACATTGATGTGGTAGTGGCCTATGCTCCAACAATGGATCACTCGAATGCAGAAATCGAGGCATTCTACGATCAACTGGAGCAAACATTGAATGTACTGCCAAAGAAAGATGTTAAGATAATCACCGGAGATTGGAACGCAAAGATCGGAAGAGACAATATTGGTTTTGAAGAAGTCATGGGAAAATACGGTATAGGAAACAGAAATAATAGAGGAGAAAGACTGCTGGAATTTGCAAAAGACCAAAAAATGTATATAACAAATACAAAAACAAAAAATACAAAAAAATGGACATGGGAATCACCAGATGGAAAAACAACGAACATGATAGATTTGATTTTGATAGAACAGAAATGGATGAAATTTGTTACTCAGTGCCGTGCTTTTCCAAGTGCAGATTGGATCAGATCATCGTCTAGTGTTATGCAACGTCAAGATGAAAATAACGAAGAGACTAAAGTCAAGCAAAAATATCAAAAGAGTGAAAGATAGCACAGAAATGATAAAAGAGAAGTTGAAAGACATCAGAAATGTAATAGAAAACAAATTGGATACAAAAACAAAGTACGATATGAAAACAAGAGTCAGTAACTTGGAGAAAGTGCATAAGACTGCAGCCAAATAATGCGAAGTAGGGAAAAACATAATAAAACCCTGGATAAGTGATGAAACTTGGAAACTCGTAGAGGAAAGAAGACAGTTGAAAGCAACAAAAAGACAAAACAACGAAAATGAGATGAAATATAAACAACTGTGTTGTAAAATAAAGAAAAGTGCCAGAGCAGATAAAAGAAGATGGATAAACGATAGATGCGAAAGGGTAGAAGCACTAGTTAGACAAAACAAAACAAGAGAGGCGTATCAGCTAGTCAGACAGTTAAAAGGAAAACTGAAGAATACGTCAAGGATTATTAAAGACAAGGATGGAAATGTTCTAACTGAAGGCCAACAAATCAAAGATAGATGGTCGGAATATATCAAGGACCTGTTCACAGATAAAAACACGTATACAAAGGAGGTGTTACAGGCTGTAAAAAAAAGAAAAGTAGTCAATGAGGAAGAAACGGAAATAACATTGGAGGAAGTAATAAAAGCAATGAAGAAAATGGGGAACAGGAGCACAGGGAGAGACGGAATTCCCATAGAGCTGATCAAAGCGGAAGGACCAATTGTATGTAATGAGATTCACAAAATCTGCCAAGAAATCTGGGACAGTGGAAAATGGCCAGAAGATTGGTGTAAATCAATCTTGATCATGTTGCCAAAAAAAGGAGACCTAAAAGACTGCAACAACTACAGATCAATAGCACTGATCCCTCATATGTGCAAGATCATGCTGACGATCTTGAAAGAACGATTGGAGAAAGACATAGAGCAGCATTTAGGAGAGGAGCAGGCAGGTTTCAGAAAGGACAGAAGTACAGTCCAGCAAATCCTGATGTTGAGACTATTGTTGGAAGATGCAGGAAGCAGAGGTCAAACAACTTTTCATTGTTTTGTGGATTTTAAGAAGGCGTTTGATTCAGTCTAACACGAAGGTTTGTGGGCAGCTTTGGAAAGTAAGGGAGTGTCAACAAAAATGGTAAGGGTGCTGAAAGGGCTTTATGAGGAGTCAACAATGGCGGTAAAGGTAGGTACAGAGCTGAGAGACTGGATCAAAGCAAGCATAGGAAGTAGACAAGGAGATCCAATATCACCATTACTGTTCTTAGCACTGTTGGAAAGAGCCTTGGAAAAAATGGAGAATGTAGATATTGAGGGAATCGACATTGGAGGCAGAGTGATAAGGGACCTCAGGTTTGCAGATGATATAGATCTGCTAGCATCTAGTGCAGAGGGTCTGCAGAAACTGATCGAGTTGACGTACGATGGTGGAAGAAACCATGGACTACACATCAACAGCAGTAAGACGAAGATAATGATTTCGGAAGCAGGTGGAAACAATGATGAATTCCAGATAGTAGCAGAAAAACTCGAACAAGTGAACCAATTTATATATCTGGGCAGCCTCATAACTGATGACAATAATTGTTCGAAAAAAATTGATAGAAGAATAGCAATCGCGAGAGGAATGTTTGCATCTTTGAAAGTAATATTGAAAAACGGTAAAACAAACAAAAATACTTTACCTTTGTATCTACAAAAAAAAGGTAAAGATCGTAGAAGCGTGTGTGTTTTCTACATTGAAGTATGCATGTGAGGCTTGGACGTTGAAGAAAAGAGACAAAGACAAACTGGAAGCATTCGAGATGCATTGTTATAGAAAGTTGCTGGGAATCAGTTGGAGACAAAAGATAAGAAACGATGCCATAAGAAAACAACTTGGAAGACAAAAAACTGTGTATGAAAGTGTCAAGGAAAGAAAGCTGGGTATCTTTGGGCACATCTGCAGAATGACAGACGACAGACTGATCAAAAAAGTACTGATGAGAAAGAGGGACTGGAAGAAAAAAGTTGGAAGACCTGTGAGGAAGTGGATGGATGATATCACGGAATGGACGGGGGTTGGAACATTGAGCTCAATGAAGATGGCGAGGAAAAGAAAAGGATTTTGGAGAGATAGAAGAATACCATCGGCCTCAACGGTCCCTTAAGGGATTACAGAGGATCATTGAATAAATGAATGAATGAATATATATATATATATATATATATATATATATATATATATATATATATATATATATATATATATATATATATATATATATATATATATATATATATATATATATATATATATATATATATATATATATATATATATATATATATATATATATATATATATATATA